AGGCGGGGCGGGGCGGGAAGTGCATTGAAAGGTGAATGTACTTGCCAATGCTGGGGTGCCAGCTTGCGTGTGTGGTGTTCTTGAAGCAGCTGGACATGGCCAGACCCCATCAATCATGTCATCTCTAGTCCCCTTGCAGGGTGGGCAGCTCGGCAGCTGGACTGGCCCTTGGCAAAGTTACGTGAGTAGAGTCTGCCCTTGATCAGAGCCCTCAAGAACCCTGTGCCCTTGTTTCTCCCCCAGGCTTTTGATCTCCCACCTACTGAAGCCTCTGTCCAATGAGGTACAAGTGGGTTCTGGAAGAATGGTCCTGGCATCTGCGCCACTGGGACACCTATTAATGCAGATCCCAGACCCCTACCCCACACCCACTGACTCAGATATGTGTGTGAAGAGTTTGGATGCATCTTGTCAAGCACCCCTAGATTATTTTCATGCACAATTATTTTTATGAGATTGTTAGGTTAGAAGGTGCTAATGGTTTAATACAGTGATTCTCACCTGTTTTGCTGCCTCCACACTGTTCAATGTGCAACACCTGGGAATGCGTGTGTCAGAATCTCTAGAGCGCTTTGGCAGATTCCCAATGGGGAGTCTGATACATCCTGCTTTGCATATTATGACCTGTTTCCTGGCTGAGAACCACCACTTAAGCCTTTCCTTCTGGTAGGCGACAGGCATTTTAGAGGAAATGACCTTTACCCTGTACTTGGCTGGATGTTCTTGGTTGGCACCCCTGGCTGGTGTCGGCATGCTCTGGAAGGAAGGGCCCTCCCTGGCCCTGGCCTAATGTTTGCCACCAGTTTCCACCCTCTGCTGATTACTAGAGGAGCTCTTGGCATGCTGTGCTGATAGGACCTTCTCTATATTAATAGCAATATTTAACCCAAAGGCAGGGCTGATGGAAAAATTCCAACCACTTGCTGGTTGATGGAGAAAGGGTCCCTGTCTATTCACTTATTTATGAATTCATATTTTAACAAATATTTATTGAGCATCTACCCTATGACAGGCCCCGTGCTGCATTCTGCAGAGGGCATGGTGATTAATGAGGCCCCATTTTCCTTTAGATTTCAGATTACAAAGGGCAAATCAGGAAGGGACATGGGAGCCGCCTACTTTGTTGATTGCCACCGCTTCCTTGGCCTAGACCATGGCCTTGGCATGGGAAGCATGGTAGAGTGCTGACATATGCAATTCAGTATGAAAGTTTGCAGTATAGCCTGTGGCGGCTGAGAGGCAAACTTGATGTATTAAGTGATATTAAAAATGCAGCTCTTTCTGATAATTTATTATGCACATTTTCATAAACACATTACACTCGTCACAGTACATTTACTAGCACTAGTCCTACCAGTGGGGAAAAGTTAACACTTATCTAATGATGCTATTTTGTAAATGGCAAATGCTCTTAGAGCAGCTGCGATGGTCTAAATAGCTCTAAGAGGTGTTTGTCTTCTTTACCCCTGGGACAACTGTCCAGTGGTTTGCAGACCACAGGTCTGTGGGCCCCTCACCTCACCCACACCTCTCATTTTCCACGTGAGGAAACTGAGGTCTATAGCGATGGAGGACCTGGCTCAAGGTCACATGAGACAGACCTGGAACTCACACTAAGGGACTGAGTGGAAAGACTAGAGCTCTCTCTCCTGCTACACAGGCCATGGTCTGGGCTGCTGGATTGGAAAGAGGCCAAGGTAAGAGGCTTACCTGCCAGGAGGGGCTTAGCTCAGGTTCAGGCTGCCTCTGGCTGGAAATCAGATGCCAGGGAGGGATAATGCTGTATCCTTAGGGGAAGCTCTAGAAATAACCTGATGGAGGACAAGGAGTATAGCCTGAGGCTTAGGTGACAACACGGATGAGGCAGTGCCCTCTATTTCCCGCCCCGTAAGAGGCCTGGGGACCACTGGAGCCCAGGGTCTTGTTTGAATGTCTTTTGAACTAGAGTGAACATCTCAGTGTAATGAATGGGTTAGAATGGACAGGAGCTCTAACTGGCAATTTTGAAACTCAGGGCCAATAGCTACAAATATTCCCTCAAACAGCTTTTAATTAATTACTGATGCAATTCAGAAGGTATTAACAAGGCAAATGATGGCTTCTCATTTTAACTCATTTTGCTTTTTAAATTTATAAATATTTCAGTCATACAACAAAAGCCAAGGGTAAACGTAAAGACTGCCTGTACCATCAACCAGCTTAAAAAGAAAACATTATAGGTTCCTCAAAAAGCTAAACATGGAATTACCATGTGACCCAGCATCTCCCAAGAATATACCTAAAAGAATTGAAAGCAGGAATTCAGATACTTGTACACCCATGTTCATTGTAGCATTTTTCACAACAACCCAAAGGGCAACAACCCAAGTGTCCATCAGCAGATGAATACAGAAACAAATGTGGTAGAGTTATACAATGGAATATTATTCAGCCCTAAAAAGGAATGACGTTCTGATCTATGCTACAATCTAGATGAACCTTGAAGGCATGTTAAGTGAAATAAGACAGACACAAAAGCACAAATGTTGCATGATTTCACTTATATGAAATGTCTAGAATAGGCAAATTTATAGAGACAGAAAGTATATTCTCTACTTACCAGGGGCTGGGGGGAGGAGAGAATGGGGAGTTATTGCTTGGTGGGTACAGAGTTTCTGTTAGGGTGATGAAAAAAGATTTTGAAAATAAATAATGATGATAGTTGCACAATATTGTAAACATAATTAATGCCACTGAATTGTACACTTAAAATGATTAAAATGCAAATTTTGTATTTTATGTTTCACCGCAATTTTAAAAATCATAAATGCATTTGAAATCTCCTTATATTCTTCCTCTATTCATTGCTCTCCCCAGAGGCAATCACTATTACAAATTTAGTAATTATCACTCTATGCATTCATTTTTACATTTACAACATATGTATGCATCTACAAATGATTGATATATGGTATGGTTTGGTATGTTTTAAAACTTCATATAAATGGTAGCATACTGTACATATCCTCATTTTACTGATTTTTTTTCCACTTACCACTGTTTGTGAGATGCATTCTATTGGAGCATGTAGTTATAGTTTATTTGTTTTCATTGCTGTATAATACTCCACTCTGAAAATACCACAGTTTGTTTTTCCTTTCTATTTTTGCACATTTACATTGATTTCTACATGTTGCTATTATAAACCTGTTGCAATGGGTTTTCCTAGCCCACGTGTGGGAGAGTTTCATTACAACTTCTTGGACAGGGAATTGCTGGGTCGAAGGACATGTGTATTTATAGCTTGACCAGAGAGTGTCAAACTGCTCTCAAAAGTGGTTATGACCATTTCTATTTCTACCAGCCGTGTATGAAGTTCCAGTTCCTTCATATTCTCATCAACGCTTGGTATCACCAGACTTGAATTTTTGCTGATCTGATAGGTGTGAAAGGGTATCTCATTGCGTTTAATTTGTTCTTCTTGCTGACTAGATGCTGTTGCATTTTTTCAACTAAGGGCAGGTATACACAGTCAAGAGATAAATGTAGCAAATTGAAAATTGAGGAGTTTCTATCTATAAGGGATAGGTTAAATACAGTATGATTCGCCTGTACAGTGGAATATTATGTAGCCATTAAAAAGACAAGGCAGCTCTGTGTGCATTGGTATGGAAGATATATCTATATTCTGATGCACTAAAAATCTTTTCATCTGAGACATACTGTTAAATAAAAAAGCAAGAATCATAAGACAGTATGATTCTTGTATATAAAGAAAAGGATGTATACACCCATGTATTTTTTTTATATGCATAAGACACCATTGAAAGAATAGACAGGAATCTGATAAAAATAGTTCACCTGCGAAGAGAACTAAGGGACAGGGAAACTTTTCTGCTCTGTGCATTTTTACCACAAACATGAATTACACATAAAAAAAAAAAAAAAAGAAGCCTGGAATAAGCAAATTCATAGAGACAGAAAGTGGAATAGAAGTTACCAGAGGCTTGGGGTGGGGGTGGGGTTATTATTTAATGAGTACAGAGTTTCCCTTGGGATGATGTCTGGAAATGGGTAGTGGTGATGGTTGCACAACATTGTGAGTGTACTTAACCCACTGAGTTGTACACTTAAAAATGGTTAAAAATGGTAAATTTTATGTTACATATATTTTACCACAATAAACAAGTAGGAAAAAAATAAGCCCACAAGTAAAAATTTAATTGCACTATTAAAAATAATAATTCAAAGAGAGCAGATCTTAAAAGTTCTCATTACAAGAAAAAAGTTTTTGTAACTACGTATGGTAACAAATGTTGACTAGACTTAGTGTGGTGATCATCTCATCAAATATGCTAATATTGAATCGTTATGTTGTATACCCAAAACTAATATGTCAACTATACTCTAATAAAAAATTTATAATTATTTAAAACAACACTGACTCTCTGGCCATTGAGACAAGTCTTAATCCTGGCTCCACGGCAGGGATGGTGGGAGCTGGGAGCTGGGACCTGGGTTCATGGAGCAGGACTCCCCGAGGGAGGAGTGCTGTGACTTCCAGAAGGCGGAGTCCTCAGCTTGGCTGAGCAATGCCTAACTCCCCACCAGGACTTACATTCCCATCCACCTGGTGGCCTGGGAGTCCCAACCAGCTCTGAGCTTTCTCAGCTCCACACTTCTTTCCACTGCTGCCTCGATGTCAGTCCTGTCCTTGTGCCTTAGAGATCCCTGCTTCTCTGTAAACAAAACCTCTGGTGACCTGGGTCTCTCCCACCATTTAGTCCAGCCTGGCCCTCTTCCATCCCTTGGCAGTGGATTCCCCCCAAATCCCTTTGAGGCTCCTCCCAACATGCTGTGCCCCAGCCCCCAGAGACACACCCACCATCCCCTCCCTGTTATTTTGGTGGCTCCTGATGCCTTTGTCGGCCAACATGTTGGTCTATCCTGGAACTCTCGGCCACCAGTCACCTTCCCAATGGCTTCATTTTAGCCACCATCCCCCATGGCTACCCCCAGGGCCCTGCCATTCCCTGTGGCCACGCTACTTCTTAAATCACATCTGCAGCTCAGGCAGGGTGGGGCAGATATCAGAGAGGGGACACCTAGTCTATGAGACAGAACATTCTTCATGCTCCTCTATTGCTATTGAACACTCCTCATCCACTAGGACATGCATCTCCATCTTCCCCAAACCCTCTGGGGGTCCCAGGGTCTGAGGAACCATTTGAAAACCTTTGGCCCCAGCGAAAGCCCAAAGCACAGTCAGCAGGCCCCTAAACTGGAGTTCCCTAAACTCTGACACATATGAATAAGCTTCTCAGCTGGGACCTCCATTATTATGTACTTAATGTTTCTCTTTAAAATTCAACTCACTTAGAGCTAAAGAAAAAATGGCGTAGATGATAGAGGCTCTGTTCATCTCTCTGGCGACCAAATCAAAGTTGTGATGGAAACAAGGAGCAAACAGCAAGAAAAATCACCTGGGATCTAGATGAACAAGCCATACAACTAGGGAGAGAACTAAGAAATCACCCTGCAATGGCAGAAGGTAGGATGGGGTGAGGACGTGAGGCTGCCCGGTCCCCAGCGGCTGAGCAGATGCCTCTTAAAGGGGCTGTGTCCATAAGAGGACTTTCGCGGTGATGGACCTGCTCGCACTGAGCACCAGCACCGGTTCGGCTGCATGGAGGGCATTAGGGACTTACAGGGGGACACTGAGTTGTCGGAGTGAGGGCCAGAGGCTAGGGTCTCTCTCGGACAGAAGTGCTTGCGGTATCCATTATTCCTCTGTTGAGCCCTTCCCCCTCCCTGTGTGCTGACACAGAGCTGCCATAGCTGAGATGTCATCAAACTGGATAACAGAGGTCTCTTTGCCCAGAGGTTTCCCTGAAACTCTGCCTCTCCCAACTTGTGGCCCTTCCCAAGCCACATCGAGGTATATCCTCATCCAGTCAGGTGCTCCTTGCTGAGCAGAGCCAAGACTCACATTAGTGTCAGCTGGCCTCATTTTCTGGTGTGGTTTCTTGAGGGAACTATAAGCACAGCATTTGTGGATTGCTTGCTGAATCTTAACAGGTGGCCCCAGAGAGGCACAGGGTGGGGCTAAACTTGGCCCGCAGCTGAACCCCTCTCAGGACTGTGCCACTGGACACCTACTACACAAAGCCACACTAATAAGACCAGGAGACTTAGGAGCTTTGCTTAGTACATAGAAACAGACACAGAAAGGCAGCCAAAATGGGAAGACAAAGAAGCAGAAACCATATGAGAGAACAGAA